TAAAACCCAGGGTCGCTTATGAGGAAAGGTTACAACGCAACTCGATTTTGCCGGGTACGCTTGCTCAGTGAAGGCGTCTTCCAAGGCTGGTAAGGCGTCACAGGCGTATGCCTGGCATAAACACAACAATCTGTTGGCAGTCTATAAAAAGGAGAGGTTGACCATGCTTTCGGAACTTGAATTACGCAGCATTATTGAAGGAAGTTTCCTGCCTAAACGGTGCGAATGCACCAAAGCCGAAGATGCTTCGCTGACGATCAAGGTGTATGACGACCGCGACCGTGACCGGGTGGACTTGGAAGTCAAAGGCATCAATGCAGACAAGCTCGACAGCAGTCGCGCCATTTGCAATCTGATCACCGGGTTGCGTGAAGACCTCAAGCACACCCATGCACCTGTACTGCAACGCGCCGGGTCGCGCGGCTACTACTAAGCCGTCGTCTGCGGTTGAACCACCGAAGACCTCTGGGCCTGGATTAACGCCAGGCCCAAAACGGTGGTATGTCCTTGCGCAATTCCCCCTATGCCTTCAACCCAATTGCTGGCGATACGGTAGATCCGGACCGGTCTTGGTGCAGGTTAATGCCGCTGCGCGAATGGCAAAGCCGAGCATCGCGTTAATCTGCTCGCGGCTGAGCTGTTGCAGACCCGCCACCGAATCCAATTGATGCTCCGTCAGCCAAGCAATCAATGCCGCCTGGAAGGTATCGCCGGCGCCCACTGTGTCGGCCATCACAACGTCCACCGCTGGTTGCGACCAGTTGCCATGCTGGCGACTGAATACGCTGGCGCCATCGCCGCTGCGGGTGAGGAACACCAACTGGCAACGGTGCTGCAACCAGCCCTGCAGAACGCTTTCCGGTGATTGGCCGGGGTAGAGCAGGTGCAGGTCTTCGTCGCTGACCTTGATCAAGTCGGCATGCTTGACCAGTTCCGCTACGCGGTCGCGCCACAGTTGGATATCCGGCTGCGGGTTGAGGCGCACGTTGGGGTCGAGGCTGATCAGGCGCTTGCCGCTTTCACGCTGGACCAGGCTCAGCAGGGTGTCGCCAATCGGTTGCACCACCAGCGAGAACGAACCCACATGCAGCCCGCGCACGTTATCGCCCAGCTGCGGCAGGTGACTCACCTGCAATTGGCGGTCGGCGCAGCCTTCGCCGCGAAAGCTGTACTGCGGTGAGCCGTTGGCGCCCACGGCGACCATCGCCAGGGTGGTCGGCGCGGCGAATTCCACCAGGTAATCCTCGCTGACGCCTTCATCCCGCAGCACTTGCAGCAGGCGCCGGCCAAGAAAATCGCTGGAAAGCCCCCCGAACAGGCCGGCCTCGATGCCCAGGCGACGCAGGCCCACGGCTACGTTGAACGGTGAACCGCCGGCAATCGCCGTGTAGTTGACCTTCGACGCCTTGCCGCTGGCGTCTTCCTCGCTGAAGAAATCGAACAGCGCTTCACCACACACCAGATACATAATTGCTCGCTCTTAAAGGGTTGCCACGAGCTGCTGATAGCGCTCGTAAGCCTGTTGATAGGCGCTGACATGGGCTGCCACCGGCACGGTACGGCTGGCCGGGTCGACGCTCACGCATCTGTCGCAGAGGCTGGCCAGGGATTCGCCGGTCTGGCTCCACGCCGCCTGGATCGCCGCGCCCAGGGCGGCGGCTTCGCTTTGTTCGGTGCAGACCACTTCGGTGTGCATGATATCCGCGACCATCTGCCGCCACACCGGGCTTTTCGAACCGCCGCCGATCAAGCGGATGCTCTGGCTTTGTAGGCCGGTCTGGCGCAGCAGGTCGAGGCCGTAGCGCAGGCCGAAGGTCGTGCCCTCGACCACCGCGCGGCACAGGTTGGCGCGGGTCAGGTTGGTCATGGTCAGCCCATGCAGGCTGCCGGTGGCGTGGGGCAGGGCGGGTACGCGTTCGCCGTTGAGAAACGGCAGCATGCTCACGCCGTCGGCGCCGATGGGCGCGCGTTCGACCAAGGCATTGAAGGCAGGCAGGTCCAGCTCGAACAGCTCGCGGATCACCCCGGTGGCGTTGGTCAGGTTCATGGTGCAGATCAACGGCAACCAGCCGCCGCTGGACGAGCAGAACGTCGCCACCGAGGCCTGGGGGCTGACGTTGGGCTGGTCGGCAAAGGCATACACGGTGCCGGACGAGCCCAGGCTCATGGTTATCACCCCCGGCGCGATATTGCCGGTGCCGATGGCGCCCATCATATTGTCGCCGCCGCCGCTGGAGACCACGGCGTTGGGGTTGATGCCCAGACGTTCGGCGATGGCCGGCAGGATAGTGCCCACGCTTTGATCGGCCTCGATCAACGGCGGCAGGGCCCGCTCCAGGCGGCCGCTCGGGTCGATGTGCCGCAGCAGAGCCGTATCCCATTCACGATTGCGCACATTGAAGTAACCGGTGCCCGACGCATCGCCATACTCGGCGACGGCGCGGCCGGTGAGCCAGTAGTTGAGGTAATCGTGGGGCAGCAGGATATGGGCGATGCGGGCGAAGAGGTCCGGGTGTTGTTCGCGGGTCCACAGCAGTTTGGAGACGGTGTAGCCGGGTGCAATGGCCACGCCCAGGCGTTCCAGGGAGCCACGCTCGCCGCCGAGGTGGGCCAACAAGCGGTCGTTCTCGGCGGCGGTTTCGGTATCGCACCATAGCTTGGCCGGGCGCAGCACCTGGCCGTGCTCATCCAGCAGCACCAGCCCATGCTGCTGGCCGGATACGCCAATGCCGAGGATGTCCTGGCCGTCGACGCCGGCCTGTTGCAGGGCGCGATGGGTGGCTTCGGTGAACGCGTCCAGCCATTCCTGGGTGTGCTGTTCGCGGCGGCCATTGGCAGCGCTGATCAGGGTGTGGGCCGCCGCGCCGAGGCCCAGTACCTTGCCGCTGCTCGCGTCGAGGACGATAGCCTTGGTGCCCTGGGTGCCGCAGTCGATGCCGAGGAACAGGTTTTGCTGGGTCATGAGGGGGTGCTCAGCATTATTGTTGGAAGTTAAATGCTATCCCAATGTGGGAGGTGGCTTGCCCCCGATAAGGGGAGGTCAGTTGATGAATCAGTTGACTGACCCAGCGCCATCGGGGGCAAGCTCCCTTCCACATTTCAAGCCGGTTTTTTCAGTAACTGCTGCAGGGTTTTGGTCACACCGTTATCCCGCAAGCTGACAAAACACCGTTCGAACGCTGCCACAAACGCAGGCGAATTGGGAATAGCCGTGCCGAAAATCTCTTCCACCCCCAGCAGGCGCACGCTGATCAGCGCATCGTCAGTTACCAGGCTCTGACAGAACGCTGCGCGCGGGTCGGGAATGTTGTAGCGTGCGCCGTTCTCATCCACACCTTTGAGATACAGGGCCCAGGCGGCCACTACCAGCGCCGCGCGCTCGGTCTCGCGGCCATCGGCAATCAGACGGTTGACGGTCGGCACAGTGAACTTGGGAAACTTCGACGAGCCATCCGAACAGACCCGTTCCAACTGGTCGGCGATGGCCTGGTTGGAGAAGCGATCCACCAGGGTCTGCTTGTATTCGGTCAGGTCGATGCCCGGCACCGGCGCCAGGTTCGGTGTGACGTCCAGGTCCATATAGGCGCGCATATAGGCCACGAACAACGGGTCGTTCATGGTTTCGTGGACAAACCGGTAGCCCTTGAGAAAGCCCAGGTAGGTCAGGGCCAGGTGGCTGCCATTGAGCAGGCCGATTTTCATTTCTTCGTAAGGGGTAACGTCATCGGTGAACTGCACGCCGACCTTTTCCCAGGCCGGTCGGCCGTTGACGAACTTGTCCTCCAGCACCCACTGCACAAACGGCTCGCACACCACCGGCCAGGCATCGTCGATGCCGTGTTCGTCATGCAGTTGCAGACGGTGCGCGGTGCTGGTCATGGGGGTAATGCGGTCGACCATGGCATTGGGGAAGCTCACATTGGCGGCGATCCAGTCATGCAGCTCGGCATCGCGCAGGGCGGCGAAGGCCAGCAGCGCCTTGCGTGTGACCGCGCCGTTGTGCGGCAGGTTATCGCAGGACATCACCGTGAAGGCCGGCGTGCCGGCGGCGCGGCGCTGGGTCAGCGCGGCGCAGATAAAGCCGAACACGGTTGTCGGCGCTTGCGGATGTGCCAGGTCATGCTGGATCTGCGGCAGGTGCGCCATGAATTCGCCGGTGCTGTCGTCGATGCAATAGCCGCCTTCGGTGATGGTCAGCGAAACGATGCGAATCGCGGGCTCGGCCAATTTGTCGATCAGCGCCTGGGCGCCGTCTTCGGCCAGCAGCATGTCGCTGATCGAACCGATCACGCGCACTTCGGTGTCGTCGGTGTCGCCCAGTTCGTACAGGGTGAATAGAAAGTCCTGGCCGGCCAGGTCGTCGCGGGCCTTGCGGTCTTCGGCGCGCAGGCCGACGCCGCAGATGCTCCAGTCCAGGCCCTCGCCGGTATTCATCAGCGCATCGGTGTAATACGCCTGGTGTGCGCGATGAAAGCCGCCGACGCCGATATGGGCAATACCCTGGGAGGTGCTGGCAATGGCGTAGGCCGGCACTTGGATCTCACGCGGCAGTTGGGTGAGGTTCTGTTTATTCAGCTTCATAGCGTAATACTCGCGAAATCAGGCGGCGGCGCGCAGTGGGCGGGCCACGGCGTTGCCATCGGTGTCGAACAGGTGGCAGTGCGTCGGGTCCAGGTGCAGTTGCAGCGTCTCGCCATACTGGCTGGCCATATCGCCACGGATACGCATGGTCAACGGCTCGCCGTTGGCGGTGATGACGTGGCAGAACGTGTCGCTGCCCAGGCGCTCGCCGACATCGGCGGTCACCGTCAGGCTGGTTTGCCCCGGCGTGGCGATTTCCAGGTGTTCCGGACGAATGCCCAGGGTCACCGCGCTGCCGACGCTCAGGCTGGCGCCGCTCAACGGCAACGTGACCAATGTCCCGGCGTCCAGCTGCACGTCGCAGTCCTGGCCGCTGACCCGGCTGACCTGGCCTTTGAGGAAGCCCATCTTCGGCGTACCCAAAAAGCCCGCCACGAACAGGTTGGCCGGCTGGTGATACAGCTCCAGGGGCGAGCCGACCTGTTCGATGCGGCCACTGTTAAGCACCACGACTTTGTCGGCCAGGGTCATTGCTTCGACCTGGTCGTGGGTCACGTAGATCATGGTCGCTTGCAGCTCTTTATGCAGGCGCGCCAGCTCCAGGCGCATCTGCACGCGCAGGGCGGCGTCGAGGTTGGACAGCGGTTCGTCGAACAGGAAGATCTTGGGGTTGCGCACAATGGCCCGGCCGATGGCCACACGCTGGCGCTGGCCGCCGGAGAGTTGCTTGGGCTTGCGCTCCAGCAGCGGGCCCAGTTCGAGGATGCGCGCCGCTTCGCTGACTTTGCTCTCCACCAGTTTCTTATCGACACCGGCCAGGTCGAGGGCGAACGACATGTTCTTGCGCACGCTCATGTGCGGGTACAAAGCATAGGTCTGGAACACCATCGCCAGGTCGCGCTTGGCCGGGGTCACTTCGGTGATGTCGCGCCCGTCCAGTTCGATAGTGCCGTCGCTCACCTCTTCCAGGCCGGCGATCAGGCGCAGCAAGGTGGATTTGCCGCAGCCTGATGGGCCGACGAAGACTACGAACTCTTTGTCATTCACTTCCAGGTCGATGCCTTTGATGATCGAGAAACCTTCGAAGCCTTTTTGCAGATTCTTGATTTTCAGGTTGGCCATGACGGGCCTCCGCTAGGAATTATTATTTAACTGCACCGAAGGACAGACCGCGCACCAGCTGTTTCTGGCTGATCCAACCAAAGATCAGGATCGGCGCGCAGGCCAGGGTCGAAACGGCGGACAATTTGGCCCAGAACAAGCCTTCGGGGCTGGAGTAAGAGGCGATCAGCGCGGTCAATGGCGCGGCGCTGGACGAGGTCAGGTTCAACGACCAGAACGCTTCGTTCCAGCACAGGATCAGCGACAGCAGCACGGTGGACGCCAGGCCGCCCTTGGCAATCGGCAGCAGCACGCGGACCATTTCCTGCCACAGGCTGGCACCGTCCAAGCGCGCGGCTTCGAGGATGTCCTTGGGGATGTCTTTGAAGTAGGTGTAGACCATCCACACCACGATCGGCAGGTTGATCAGGGTGTAGATAATGATCAGCGCGATGCGCGTATCCAGCAGGCCGAAGCTTTTGGCCAGCAGGTAGATCGGCATCAGCACGCCCACCGGCGGCAGCATCTTGGTCGACAGCATCCACAGCAGCGTGCGTTTGGTGCGCTGGGTTTCGTAGAACGCCATGGAGTAGGCCGCGGGCACCGAGATCAGCAGGCACAGCGCGGTGGCGCTGAAGGAAATCAGCACCGAGTTCCATGCATAGCTGAAGTAGTTGCTGCGCTCGTTGATGTGCAGGTAGTTCTCCAGGGTCGGCGTGAAGATGAACTGCGGTGGCGTGGCGAACGCGTCGATTTCGGTCTTGAAGCTGGTGAGCACCATCCAGAAGATCGGGAAGAAAATCACGATCGCGATGGCCCAGGCCAGGGTGCCGAGCAGCAGGCTTTGCAGGCGACGGGATTGTTGAAGCGTCATGGCGCGGCCCTCAAGGCTTGTCAGTCAGGTTTTTGCCGATCATCCGCACCAGGATGATCGCCGCGATATTGGCGATGACCACGGCGATCAAGCCGCCGGCCGAGGCCATGCCCACGTCGAACTGCACCAGTGCCTGGTTGTAGATCAGGTACGCGAGGTTGGTCGAGGCGTAGCCCGGGCCACCGTTGGTGGTGGTGAAGATTTCCGCGAACACCGAGAGCAAAAAGATGGTTTCGATCATCACCACTACGGCAATCGGCCGCGCCAGGTGCGGCAGGGTCAGGTGCCAGAAGATCGCGATGGCGCCGGCACCGTCCAGGCGCGCGGCTTCCTTTTGTTCCTGGTCGAGGGACTGCATGGCGGTCATCAGCAACAGGATCGCGAAGGGCAGCCATTGCCACGACACAATGATGATGATCGACAGCAACGGGTAGTGCGCCAGCCAGTCCACCGGCTCGGCGCCGAACAGTTTCCACACGGCGGCGAGCACCCCGGACACCGGGTGGAAAATCAGGTTTTTCCAGATCAGCGCACCGACGGTGGGCATGATGAAAAACGGTGAAATCAGCAGCACCCGCACCAGGCCGCGACCGAAGAACTCACTGGCCTCCAGCAGCGCACTGATCAACACGCCGAACACCACGCTGATCAACAGCACACTGCCGACCAGCAGCAGGGTATTGGTGGCGCCGGGCAGGAAGCCGGAGTCGGTGATGAAGTAGGTGAAATTCTCCAGCCCCACGAATTCATTCTCGCCGGGGTAGAGCAGGTTGTAGCGAATCAGCGAAAAGTACAGGGTCATGCCCAGCGGCACGATCATCCATAGCAACAGTAGGACAACCGAGGGGCTGACGAGAAACCAGCCGGGGTTGGCCAGGCGGTTTTTGGCAGGTGTATTCATGGTAATTAACGCCAGTGCGGAGCAAGGATCGGAGTGCGGTCACTGTGGGAGGGGGCTTGCTCCCGACAGCGGAGTGTCAGTCGATTAATCAGTTGGCTGATCCACTGCTATCGGGGGCAAGCCCTCTCCCACCTTGACGGTGGTGAGGCTCAGGTTACTTGGGGTAACCGGCCCGCTTCATTTCCCGCTCGGTGGTGGTCTGCGCCGCAGTCAATGCTGCATCAACCGTCTGCTGACCGGTCAGCGCACCGGAGAAGAACTTACCGACCTGGGTACCAATCGCCTGGAACTCAGGAATGGTCACCAGCTGGATCCCGATATACGGCACCGGTTTGAGCGTCGGCTTGGTCGGATCGGCAACTTTCAACGATTCCAGCGTGACCTTGGCGAACGGCGCAGCCTTCATGTACTCATCGCTGTAGGTCGATGTGCGCGTACCTGGCGGTACGTTGGCGATGCCATCGGTCTTGGCCACCAACTGGCTGTATTCCTTGGACGTGGCCCAACTGGTGAATACTTTGGCGGCGTCCTTGGCCTTGGAACTGGTCGGGATCGCCAGGGACCAGGAGTACAGCCACGACGTGCCTTTGTCCGTGGTTTCATGGGGCGCGAAGGTGAAACCGACGTGGTCGGCCACTTTGCTTTGGGTTTTGTCGGTGACGAACGAGCCGGCGACGCTGGCGTCGACCCAGATCGCGCACTTGCCGCTGTTGAATAGCGCAAGGTTTTCGTTGAAGCCGTTGCTGGACGCCCCCGGCGGACCGGATTTCTTCATGTTGTCGACGTAGAAATTCAGCGCGTTCTTCCATTCCGGGCCATTGAATTCAGGCTGCCATTTTTCATCGAACCAGCGCGCACCGTAGCCGTTGGCCAGGGTGGTGATCAGCGCCATATTCTCGCCCCAACCGGCTTTGCCGCGCAGGCACAGGCCGTATTGCTCTTTGCTCTTGTCGGTGAGTTTGCTGGCGAATTCGCCGATCTGGCTCCAGGTCGGGTGCTCAGGCATGGTCAGCCCGGCATCCTTGAACAGGTCGGTGCGGTAATAGGTGATCGAGCTCTCGGCATAGAACGGCAGGGCGTACAGCGAACCCTTGACGGACAAACCGTCACGCACCGAAGGGAACACATCGTCGAGGTCGTAGGACGCCGGCAAGTCCTTCATCGGCTCCAGCCAACCCTTGGCGCCCCAGAGTGCGGCTTCGTACATGCCGATGGTCAAGACATCGAACTGCCCACCCTGGGTGGCGATGTCGGTGGTCAGGCGTTGGCGCAGCACGTTTTCTTCGAGCACCACCCAGTTCAGCTTGATCTCCGGATGCTCGGCCTCGAAGGTTTTCGAGAGCTTCTGCATACGGATCATGTCGCTGTTGTTGACGGTGGCAATGGTCAGGGTCTGCGCGCCAAGGCTGACGGCGCTGAGGGTCATACATGCAGTCATACACGTAGAGGCAAGCAGAGCTTTTGCTGGGAACTTCATCGCGCACTCCATTTCCGCGCCCAGGGGCTACGGAAGGACAGTTATTGTTGTTGTGTCTTCCTACAGAGAGTCAGGAAGAGTGTGCGTTGATTACAGCCTTCAATTGGCGGTGTGACAAATCCTTGGGAACACTGGGACTGATACTTTTTTGCACTCAGCAAGATCGTTCCACGCCCCGCGTGGGAACGATCAGTGCAGTACTTAACCTCTATATCAGCCAGTGAAAAATCACTCTCAGGCCAGGTTCTGCTCGGTCAAGCGTTGTACCGCCAGTCGCCGGTAATGGGACGGGTCATGCCCTTGAGCTGTTGAAAGCGTCGATTGAAGTTGGAGATGTTATTGAAGCCCGACTCAAAGCACACATCCGTCACGGCCTTATCGCCATCGGCCAGCAGCTCGCAGGACTTGCTGATGCGCAACCGATTGACGAATTCGATAAACGTGCGCCCGGTGGCCTGTTTGAACACGCGGGAAAAGTAAGTGGGTTTCATGCCCAGGTGTTCGGCCACTTCTTCCAGCGGCAACTCCCGTGCGTAGTGGGCGAAGATGTAGTCCACCGCGCGGTTGGTGCGGTCGATGCTGTGCTCGTCGGCCGTTTGCGGTGCTGTCACCCCCGACAGCAGTTGGTAGTCGTCACACGCGCTCAACACGTCCAGCAGGATAAAGAAATGCCCCAGGCGCGCCATGCCCTGGGCGTCCTCGATGCGCTGCATCAAGGTCACGGCCTGGGCGATGGTGTGCTTGCAGCGAAACTCGATACCCGACTGCGCACGCTCCAGCAGCGGCGCGAGGTTTTTGAGTTCGGCGAAAATGTGGCTGCCCTGTTCAAGCAGTTCATCGGTGAAGTTCACCAACATGTCGCGCTTGGGCACCACTTCGTCTTCCTCCACCTGGCTGATCCAGTTGTGGGGCAGATTGGGGCCGGTGAGGAACAGGCTTTCCGGGTAGAAGTTGCCAATGTAGTCGCCGATAAACACCTTGCCGGAGCTGGCGACGATCAGGTGCAGTTCGTATTCCTTGTGGAAATGCCAGCGCACCAGCGGGCAGGGGAAGCCATGCTGGCGATAGATGATGGACAGACCGTTGTGATCGTCCATCAACTCGTAGGAAGGGTCGGTGATGCGCGTTGCTCGGGTCATGCTGCCGTCGCTTTATTGTGGTTGCTGCGTAGGATAATGCCCCCTGGCGCACCTCCTCGCCAACGTCTGTGTTTACCCGTTGCGGTTTTTCGCCTCGATCCACTGCGCCATGTACTGGGTACTCTTGTGGGCGTGGTGGCGCAACATGCTGCCGGTGAAGTTATCTCGGCGATGGGCCGTGAGGCGGCTGCGGCACTGTTGCAGGCACTCGATCAGCGCCGGGCCGTGGATCTGTTGGGCGTAACGCCGAGCCAGCAGGTGGCGCCCGTGTTCCTGTGCCTTCGTCCAACGGTCGCGGTCCTGATACAACGCCACGGCGGCAGCGGCCAGAGCCTCGGCATCGGCCGCGATGGCTCCCGGCCAGGGCTGTTCATCGCCCATGGCTTCGGCGCCGATCGGTGTGGTGACATTCGGCGTGCCGCACAGCATGGCATCGGCCAGCTTGCCCTTGATTCCGGCGCCAAAGCGCAACGGCGCCAAGCAGATACGCGCGGCGCTCATCACGCGCAGGGCATCCTCGGCCCAGTTCATGACATGAAAGCCCTGAGCCGGGTTGTGCAGGGCAGTGGCCTTGGGCGGCGTATAGGCCCCGTAGATATGCAGCTGGGCCCCTGGCAATTGCTGGCGGATGCGTGGC